ACCATAAGGTTACTTGAATGACATTTGAAGTACCCCACAGAAGAAGTCCTTATTTAGGATGTTTTACAAACTCATAAAAATTTTCAATCAGTTGTATTTACTCTAGAGCTAGTTCTTAGAACATTGTGATATAAAGCTGCCATAGTGTGTCTTAGTTGCCATAAACAATATCAGAAATAAGCTTTTGTTGAAAAGTCACAAAAGTAGATGTGTGGAGAACATTTGGTTGAAAAGTGTTGCTTATAAGCCCAGTATTTTAATGCCTCCTTGTCAGTACTACAGATCCATGAGTCTTTAGCATCTGTTCCTCAAAAAATAAAATTAAAAGGCATGTAGCCTGATCCAACCAGAAGTCTAACTGGTTCTCTTAGTGGAAAATCATTGAATTTCCTTGAAATGCACTTATGGAAAGTAAGTCTTTCTGCAAAGCAGTCTTTACTAAGCATGAAGAACAGGTTGCATAACTGTATATGTATGTATAGCTGTTAACAATGTTGGCCTGCTTGCCAGAGTTTCACTGGCGACTGTTTTCTCTGAAGTATTACACATCAGAGTGTGGCTAGACTATGTGAAAGCTGGTTTGCATCTATTTCTAATTATTGAAAGCAACAAACATTTTGAAAGGACTTGGCCAATTGTTCCAGTTAATCTTTATCTGGGCTCTTGAAATGGCATCCTTCGTAAGTCATGAACTTAAAAGTATCTCTCGTAATATCCATGTCTATTTAGCACTATGATGATTTGTTTACCATCAAACATGTGGGACAACATCTGGGAAGGTTTTGGCTGTCACATTTGGAGGTGGGGATGACACTTGCACCTGATAGGGAGAGACCAGAGATACCACCAAACATCCCAGAATGTGTAAGACAACCCTCTATCTCAACCAAAAGTATCTCACCTCAAATTGTCGATAGAAGCATAGAAATAATTTGAGTCAAACTCTCAGAAAATGATACAACTGTCTCCTACATCCTGTAGGAAAGCCGATGGCATGCCTCCATTTCAGAAACACTGTTTCCATTCCATCCCCAGCTCCTCTTATATTCGCTAATCAGAATCTTGGTAGGAATTATTTCCAGAGTAATTCATGAATTACACAAAACTTTAATTTCAGCAAAGAAGCAAATGTGTTTATAAATGAAGTTCTACAGACTTTCCCCAGGGTGTATCATGTGGACAAAGAGATAGATACTTGAATTCCCAATTTGAGATTGAAAGCACAGAGAACACATCGGATATCAATATCTCAATAAAGTATTTCTCCTTTTCCTTTAAAAAAAAACTACACATTAAGTCCAGTGGATTTGGGACACTGGGGTTACATTGTCCTTATTCTGACTTTCTGCAAATGGCAGAAGGGGTGGGCAAGCATGGACTTGGTATATAACAATGGCTTCAGTAATGATGAAGGTGATGATGGTACTGGTAGTCATTTGCTGCCACAGGATCCCTTTTTACATCTCAGTTTCTCAGCTAATCATATGAGTTACATTAGAGTTTTACATTCCCTCAGACTGGGAGGGTATTCTGTCTCCCATATTACTGATTAAGACATGGAGATGAGGGCCTGGGAGATAGTTCAGGAGAATAAGCACTTGCCTGGTAAGCACAGGGTCCTGAGTTCAATCCCAAGTACTGAAAAAAAAAAAAAAAGACATGGAGATGATTTTACATTCCTGAAGTTCATATCAATACCTAGTAAAAGAAGGATTAAAACTCATTCTACAGCTCTTTTCCTCCTGGGCTGTCTGAGGATCCAATGCCATCATGAATGACACAGCAACTATCTGAATCCGGAAGTTCATAACCAACTGACTTCCTCAAAGGAAACAAATGGTCATTGGTGTCCTTCACCCTGAGAAAGCAACAGTACCTAAAACAGAAATTCGGGAAAAACTCACCAAAATGTACAGGACCACACCAGGTGTCATTTTCGTGTTTGGATTCAGATCCCATTTTGGTGGCGGCAAGACGACTGACTTTGACATGATTTATGATTCCCTGGATTATGCAAAGAAAAATGAGCCCAAACATTCACTTGCAAGACATGGCCTGTATGAGAAGAAAAAGACCTCAAGAAAGCATCGGAAGGAATGCAAGAACAATGAAGAAAGTCAGGAGCAGCGCAATGGCTAACCTTGGTGTTGACAAAAAGGAGTAGAGATTTCTACAGTGCCTGTCTGCAGCAACTGCAGCTTTTTTCATGAGAGGATTTATAAACTGCAAAACCTTAAAAAAAATTAAGAATAATAAAACTCAATGTACAAATCTGTGAAAACCAAACACAAAGAAGTTCATTTACAAAAAAAAATTATGCAGTACTTTTCACGGACCAAGTAATTATTTTGGATACTTAAAGCATAACACAAAAGGAAAACATATCTCTTACCCACTCACTACTTTATCCTATCTATAGTATGCAATTTCAGGTCTACTACTGCAGTAGAACAATTTCTTTAAGTGTGACTGTATTGGATTATGAGGATTTTCTTCATAACGTATTTTCATCACTTACTTTCTCATTCAAAGTTGATCTCATTATTTTCAGTGACTCTTGTTCACTTTGTAGTTCAGCCAAATATAAGTATTAGACTAGAGAAAATAATCTCTCTAATTTTTCCAGCATACTAAATAAAATGTAGCCAAAGTTTAGGAACAAGACCCAATACCCCTAGAATTTGAATACTTGGAAGGGAAATCATTTACTTGAGACAAAGTTGTCCCTTGAATTCTGCTGAACACTTTACTAAGATCAATGTTCCTTAATCATGTAAGACTCATTCTCCAGCCAACAGATCCAGCGTCATCACTTTTATCCATGAAAAAACTCATCTTGACTATCAGAGCTGAGGAAATACAACTGGAGTTTCACCTGAAGAACAGCAGCTGTTTGGAAGTCTGGCGGGGGCGTGGGGGAGGCAAGTTACAGAAATCTGTTGGATTTACTACGTGGCAACAGTGTTGCTAAGCACCCTAAACACTAATCTATGCTGACATGTTAGTGAAAATGAGAATGCCCCAGAGCTGTCCTAGGAAAGTGCTCAAACATGTCTATTTTTGAAAGAAATAAAGAGAAGACCTTCAAAGACCAAGGAACAAAGTAAAACTACTTACTCCTCACAGGAACACAGCATACAATGAGTAATCCACCAATTCTTGTTACCAATATAATATACTCACTATCTGGAGAAGCTTAAATTATTACACAGGAACTACTATAACATGGCTAAAAGCTAAGTTTAAAAACCAGAACAAGACTCTAGCCTCTGCTCCACTTTTTACCGGTTATATAACTTACAGCAAATCACCCAAATCTTATGAACCTGGTTTTTTTTTTCACAGATATGGAATATTAATTGTGCTTTTTGTGGAGGATAAAATAGAATAACATACATGAAACACTCAGCAAAATGTCTAGGGTATTCAAACAATAAATAGTGTGAATTTTTTCTGTTACAGTTGGCTACTTAATTCAGATGAATGTATTTAACCAATCTTCAAAAGCCTGAAATCAGAACATCTCCTATAGACAATGTCAATGCCTATAGACAATGAAATATAAAACATGAGAAAAGATGATGTATTTTCCAATGGTCTTTCAAATTCCAAGAAGCTGGAATTATCTCATCTGTAACAAATAGCTAATGTGAAGTCTCAAATTCTCTAGATTTTCATGTAGAACTGCCACAACAAATCCTTAAAGCCTTAGGTATTAAACTACTGGCTTGTCACTGCTCAAAAAGGAATTTGATGCTCATTTGTTTGTTTTTTCACAAATAGTGGCTATCAAAACTTAAATAGAAGGAGTTTTGCATAACAATGTCATAGAGGATTTTAAAAATGGGTAGGTGAACAGCGCTACCTATTAAACATTTTGTATCTGTACATGAATAAGAACATTTTGTCACCAGTTCCAGGTCCATGAGCTGGAGGGTGGGGTATTACTAAATAGCACGCCAGTGCATTGTGATATAAGACAGATCATAAAATTGAAATTTAAACTGGAAAAGACCAAAGAAAGAAATGAAAATTAACTCAGTCAGAAAGTAAAATTGAACAGGCAAGGAAATACAAGTAACGGTGGAAATATAAAACCACAGGGTAAAGGAATGTTCCTTGTGGCATTAGCATGGTATAATGGAGCTCCTAAGTGCTCTATCGATGAGCAGAGTCATCATTAATCTTTTGTGACAAGACTCTTTGAAGTAACCAAATTGTGATAGTCCGCGGCTCTGAGTATCCTGTATTATAGTTAGGATTGAAGATGACTTCTGTGTACAGTAATTGTTGCATTGTGTTTTTCCATTGTAGTAAATTTCGACAGAAATGGCTTTCAAAAGCTGTCTTAATAAAAGTGATTTAGAAAAAATAATAGCCAACCGGGTCATTTCTTTTGTCATGGTGTTCACTTAGATATATTTGGTCATGAACTTTTCTGCAGACGGGCAGTCACTAGGTCATTTAAAATTGAAGTAAGAATAGAGATGGCTGAACTCGGACCAAGTTTTCTAAGTAGGCTTTCTCTGAGTTGTATAATTAGTGCAGTTTGTACGTATTCTACAAATACTCAATTACGGCATTTAAATTCTTTGTGAGAGAGATTTTCAGGGAAATGTTAAGATTAGAGATAGACAAATTCGAATCTAAACTATATTTCCTGGATAAAAACTAGAATTTATAGTAAATGGACTTTCCTCACCAGATGAAAAAGAGAAAGAAGGCCTTACTATCTGTCACAGTAATTATAGAACTTTGCAGAAAGTTGGGCAGTGGGAGGGGGATAATAAGATATAAATCACATCCTTCACACCATGTTTCCATTAGTGAAAAAAAAGAAGGCACATAGATCAGAAGCCAGAGTTGCCTTCTGTATTTTATTCTGAGTTTCAACTAGTTCTTTTGTGTGGCCAGAAGCAAGTTCTCTAACCTCCCTGACTTCCAATTATACCATCTGCTAGTTGTGTGTAATAATAGTGCCTTTCACTGAAACTTGTTTTGAAAACTAAATGATATAGACCATGATGCTTCATAGAACTAAATGTTTAGTGAGAGTAGGAGCTTGTAGTGAGATGAATGACGGTCCCAAAACATATGGCCACATCTTTATCTTGCAAAACTGTCCGCATTTGTTTTGTAGATGTAATTTGAAATCTCAAGATGAGATCATCCTGAACAATTCAAGGAAACCCAAAATGCAACAGAAGTTTCCCTTTAAAAGACAGACAAGACAGCACAAAGGTGGAGGTGGAGATCGCAATGATGTAGCCCTGACCCTTGAGGGGACTAGGACTCACCAGAAGCTAGGACAGAGCAAGGAAGGGGTCCCCTTCAGAGCACCAGAGGAAGTCCACTTCATTGAAATCTTCAGTGCAGACTTCTGGCTCAAGAACTTCACGAGGATGCATTTCTGGTGTTTTGAGTCTCCCAGCATGGGGATTTTGGAGCCCCAGAAAACTAACCCAAAGCTATTTTTAACAGCTTTGTTGAAAAGCAATTCATACCCCTTACATTTCAAACACTTAAAATATATAGTTCAGTGGTTTAGAGTATATTATCATATTATTAAAAACACTATGTTGTGGGGTTGGGGAGATAACTCAGTGGCATGAGCGACTGCTTCACAAGGGCAAGGTCCCAACTTCGATGCCCAATACCACATGCTAACCAGTTCCAGAACTGTGCTGGCCCCAAAACCAGGTGTGGTGGTGCATGCCTGTAATCCCATCACTGGGGAAGCTGAGACAGGAAGATCACTACTCATGGAGTTCAAAATGCATAGTGAGAACCTGTGTCAAAAATAAATAAATAAATAAATGTTAAGATTTTAAAAATTGCACTGCAAATATATAACACAGATTGACATTTTAACTATTTTTCAATACACAATTCAATGTCATTAATTAATTTCATTGTTCTATAACTATCACCTTTGATCTATTTCCAAACCTTTTCAACACCCAAGGCATATTCTACATTCAAAAAACAGTAAGTCCCCATTCTCATAATCTGTAATCATTTTCTAATAAAAAAGAGCTTTTCACTACTTTCTCCCCCAATTGCTGTCCTTTTCTCTGTGCAAGCATCCACAGCTATGGCAGTGCCTCCAGTTTCTCTAGATGGAAATGATTTTCATAAAATGCAAATTATCTGACAGTGACTGGAAATGAAAATACCTTCCAGAAAGGTATTTTCTAAGTAGGCTTTCTCTGAGTTGTATAACTAGTGCATTTTGCACATATTCTACAAATACCAATGTGTAGAATTGTAGATCAGATTCTCAGTGATCCTTCCAATTACCCATGTTTGTGCTACACTAGGTATCGATTAGCTAATTTGTTTTCTTTTATTTTTTTTATTTTCTTCCTTTTTCCATAATTATAATGAGAAATAAATAGCAATAAGACAGTTTCAAATCAAATTGGTAGGACAGTTCCAATAATTAACACATTGCATACTGCCTTCCTAGTGGTTGGTTGTTGTACAAGATGCAGAAATGATATCCTATTTACAAA